GACAACAGACAGACAGACAGAGACGAGAAAGAAGAGAGAGAGAGAAAATCAGAATAGAGAGAGAGAGAGATAGAGAGGAGAGGAGAGAGAGAGAAGGAGACAGAGGAAAAGACGAGAGAGAGACCGATTCTGATATAGCAAGAGAGAGATCAGGATGACAGAACAGACCGATACCGTACCGAGAGAAAGTAGAAAAGAGAGACACACAAAATATAACCCCACAGACATCCGAAATAGAACACCACCCCACACAAGAAATCAGAAAAACTCCCCCAACCCCCAACCCTGCGCGCCCACAACGCACGGCATAAGAAAGAAAGAAAAAACTACAAGCGAACCCCTGTCGCAGGTGACGACCGTGCCGAGAGAGAGAGACCTAGGTGCTCCAACGCCCCCGCCACCCTCCCTCCCCCTTGTCATGGTAACGCTAGCATGACCAGCTGTAGCGTGACGCCCTCGGCTGTCACACCTCTAGCGCAACAACTAACGCCTCGGGGTGACGCCACAAAATGAAATATATTCTGGAGAAAAAAAAAATTGGGGGAATAAAATGCTTCATCGAACAAGAGAAAAGTCAAGAAGGAGAAACGATCTGGGGCGTGGCAGCGGAGGGAGGAGGAGAGAAAGAGAGATAGAGGAGAAGGAAGAAAGAAAGAAAGTAGAAAAGAGAGATGAGAAGAAGGAAAAGAGGAAAGGGAGAGAGGACTGATGAGAGTAAGAGGAGGTAGAGAGGCGAAGAAGAGGAGAGTGGAGGGTGGCAGGAGGAGAGTGACTAGGGAAGGCTGAAGGATGAACGTGAGAGAGAGAGAGAGATAGGAGAGAGGAGAGGAGAGAGAGTGGAGACGGAAGAGAGAGGAAGAAGAGAGAGACGAGAAGAGAATGAGAGATGGAAAGAAACACACACACACAAGAATACATAACACACACAACATATATAATCATATATGAGTATATTATTATAAATATATATATATAATAATATGTATATATATATGTCTTGTTGTGCGTGTGTTTCTAGTGCGGTGGATGCAGGTCATTTGCATGTCTGTTGATTGTGCTTTCTTGGTCTTGGTCTGTGTCTGGTTGCGTGCTGTCTGCCCTGTGTTTGGTATGTATGTAGTATATAGTGTATATATATATATAATATATAATATAATATATATATTATATATATATATATATATCATAATATATAATATATATATATATATATATATATATATATATATATATATATATATATATATATATATATATATTATATAATATATAATAACTATATATTTACTATATATATAATATATATAAAGAGAAGAGAGAAGAGGAAGAAAGGAGAGATGAGAGAGAGGAGGAGGAGCGACGGGAGAAGAAGAGAGGAAGAATAAGAGGAAAAGAAAAAGGGAGAGAGAGAAGAGAGAGAGAGAGAGAAGAAGAAGAGAGGAGAGAGAGAGAGAGAAGAGAGAGAGAGAGAGAGAGCGAGAGAGAGGAGGATAGAGGAAAGGAAGAAATGAAAGAAAGAAAAAAAAAAAAAGGGAGATGAGAGAGAAGAGAGAGAAGAGAATCGAGCCGCGAAGAGATAGAGAGAGACGAGAAGAGAGAGAGAAGAAGAGGAGTAAAGGAGAGAGAGAGGAGAGAAAGAGAGAGTGAGAGAAAGAAAACGAGAAGAATAGAAAGAAAAAAGAAAAAAAGAGAGAGAGAGAAAGAAGAAGAGAACCGGCGGAGAGACGATGAAAGAGTGAGAGAGAGAGAGAGGAGAGAGATAGAGAATGAGAGAGAGAGAGAAGAAGAAGAAGGAAAGAAAAAAGAAGAAAAAAGGAGAGAGAAGAGAGAGAGAGAGGAGAAGAGAGAGAGAGAGAGAGAACTGAGAGAGACGAAGGGAAAGAGGGGCAGAGGGGGGGGCAGCCGAGAAAAGCTCCTAATTGGTCATAAAAGGGGCAAGCATATTCATCAACAATACGGGAAAGGGAGGGGGGGTTGGCATGACGGCGAAAGCAGCGGAGCACGGAAGGCCACGCTGTAATGCTGCCTCGTTGTCCTGACAGAACGGGGGGGGGGCGATGGGCGAGACAGAACGGAAGAAAGTGGGAAGGGGGGGGATTCGTCCTCGATTCTATCGTATCGTCGCTTTCTCACTCTGCTTTCTCGCTTTGTCCCTGCTTTCTTCAAATTTAGCGTTGTCCTTCTGTTTTTCGTTATCTACGCTTTCTCGCTTTCCCCTGCCTTTTTTCGACTTTTGTTGTTGTTGTTTTGTTCTTGTTTTCTTCTTCCAAACCTTCATTTGCATCACCATTACCAAAAATATTAGCATTAACGCTGGACCCTTTTACTCTCTGGATGATGATAAATCATCACCACTGTCACCACCTCTATCATCATAAATACCACTTTAACCATCACACAATGCATATCCTCATCACAAATGGTTTATCACGAGCATTTCCCGCAAAATAATCAACTTTAACACCCGTTATCTCTCTCCCTCTTCTTCATCCTCTTCCTC